AAAGAAATCAAAGAAGAAGAAAAAGATAAAAAAGGAAATGCTATAAAAATAGCAGAACAAATAGCAGTATCATATAGATATACAATACATTGTTTAGATAGAACAACACAAAAGCTAGTAATTAATCAAGAATCAGAAAATATAATAAAAGACTTAATGAAAAATCTCTAAGAAGATCTAGATATTATTTTAGATAAACTCTGTAATCTACTTCTATGTAAAAAAATGACACCAAAATTATGGAGACAGTATCAAATAGCAAGTAAGTGTTGAATATATAAAGAAAAATTACATAAATCAGGATACAATAAAATTTGGGTATTTAATCCTGAAACTAAAAAATATTTGGATGCTTCACATAGAAAATGTCACGGGAAAAAGCCAATGATTCAAGGTAAGTTAGATAATGAATAAAAGAAAATACATAATGCATGTAAAAAATGTATGTATTGTAAAACTCAATTGCCTGACGAAGGAAAAAATAAGGTACTAGATCATGATCATATAACAGGAAAGTTTCGTGAAGCATTATATAATAGTTGCAATCTTAAATTACGAATTGATTCAGAAACAATAAAAATTCTAGTATTATTTTGCAATAGAAGTGGCTATGATTTTCATTATCTAATGCAAAAAATAGCAAAAGTAACAGATGAAAAAATAGTAACTATAGCAAACAATTCTGAACAATATATCACTTTTTTGGTTAGACAACTACAATTTATCAACAGTATAAAATTTTTATTATCTGGTTTAGCTAAAATAGCAGAAAATTTACATGATGAAAAAAGGGCCAAACTAAAACACCAGAACAACTAGCAAAATGTTTTCTAATTATATCAAAATTTATTTCATCTTATTTATTATTATTGCTTATACGTAAAAGAATATTTCTATATCAATAGTTAAAATATCAAAATAAAATTTAAAGAGTCACAACTACCTTCACATAAGGATTTTAATAGCAATTTAGATAGATATAATTATTGTGAGCATGGGTGTGAAAACAAAGAATGTGAACATGAGAAAATTTATACTATATCTCAAAAGAATTATAACTTTGCCTGAATCGTTTAGTGAGAAACAGGATGTAAGACTTTTGGTGATTATCATGATATTTATCTTAAATCTAATGTATTAATTTTGGCAGATACATTCGAAGCATTCTGAAAAGCATCTTATTCAGCATTCAAACTCAATCCAGCAAATTATTTAACTTCATCTGGATTAGTATAGGATGCCTGTATAAAGGTGACAAAAGTTAAATTAAAATTATTTAATAAGCAACAAGAGGATATGCATGACTTCTTTATAGCCATAAAAAGAGAAGAAATATCTTTAGCAAGACAGTGTATAGCCAGAGCAAATATTCCAGAATTAGAGGGATATGATGAAAAAAAGCAAAAAAGTAGCTTTTGTATCTAGATACAAATAATCTCTATAGTTAGGTAATGTCTCAATATTTACCAACTAGTAAATTTAAATGGCTATCAACTATACTTTTGAATACATCTCAATCTTTAGTGCAGAAAATTTTAACGATAAAAGAACAATCAAATCAGGAATGTTGTTTAGAGGTTAAGTTAACAATTCCTAAAGAGTTGCACCTCAAATTTCGAGATTATCCTATGTGTTCAGAATAAAAGAAAGTACCATATGATTGGTATAGTTTGAAACAAAAAGAATAGTTAGGAAATCAACATCCTAATACAGAAAACTTATACTAACTCTATATGATAAAGACCATTATGTTATTCATTATAGTATGTTCTCGAAAAAGTATATTGAATTCTAGAATTCAATCAATCACCATGGCTGAAACTCTATATAGCAATGAATACTCAACAACATGTAAAAACAAAAAATGCATTCAAAAAAGACTTTTGGAAATTAATGAAAAATTCAGTATTTGGGAAAACTATGAAGGATGTAAGAAAGTGAGTGAATATAGATTTGGTTCGACAGGTAGATGAAGAATGTAGACTATGTTGATTAATATCTGATTCAGTATTTGTTAGTCTGAAAATTTTCTATGGAGCAAATTTAGTAGCAGTGTATTGAAGGCAAACTAATATAAAACTAAATAAGCCAAAATATGTAGGGCATGTATTCTTGATCTTTCCAAATATTTTATATATAATTTTTGGTATA